TAGGCTCAGCATTTAGAAATGCTTGCTATAGATAGCAAGTTTGGCACTTAACAGATGGCTGTTTCTTGAAATTCTTTTGTGTCAGCCAATTCTTTTTGGTACAGTGACTCTGTATACTCCTTCCATCTTCTTTTAATACTTTCTGGATAATTCAATATTCTATACATAGCATCCTTAACTATTGCAATTTGAGGCTTGAATTTGTTCTTTAGTTCCTTCAGCTTAAGAGCAAGTGTGGCCATTTTGATTTTCTGACTCCAGTTCTTTGCATATTTTATTATAATACTTTACTTTGTCTTCCCATGCTGCCCTTTGAAATCTTCTATTCAGCTCTTGAACTTCTTGATTTCTTTGCTTCGGCTTCTCTGTGCTCTAGTGCAATATTCAGAGTCTCTTCTGACATCCAGTCCATGATTTTGGCAGTTACTTGCTATGCATCAGAGAGCTGGACAATGACTAAGGATGACAGAAGAAGAATTGATGCCTCTTAGTTAAGGTGCTGGAGAAGAGTCTTGAAAATCCCATGGACCACCAAGAAAACAAATAGGTCTGTCTTAGAGAGGGTGAAACGAAGTTTCTCCTTGGAGGCTAGGATTTTGAAGCTCCATCTCACATACTTTGGACATGTGGTCAGGAGGGACCATTCCTTGGAGAAGAAGGATATCATGCTCAGAATGGTGGAGGGACAGCACAGGAGAGGAAAACCCTGGATGAAACAGAACGATACAGTAACTAGGGCAGTGAGGGTAGGTGTGTTGGAGTCTGTAAGATTGGCTCAGGAGAGGGCAGGCTTCAGAGCTGTTATACATAGGGTCACTGTGAGTTGCAGGCAACTTGACAGCACATGACAACAGTAGGTGGTTGTATGGGTTAGTGTGGTGTACTTTTCTTAAATTGCCCTTATCAGTGAGTAGATATAAGTTGGAATTCCTGGTTTGCATCCTTGAGAAATATAGAAGTCTCTTGAGGGATCTTTCTAGGGAATAGATTTTAACTATAATGTCGCAGGAGATTTATTTTGTTTAGCCACGTGGAGTATTTCTTTCCAGCCTAATTCTAACTAAAATGTCCTCAGAGATAAGAAGTTAAACAGGAGCACTCTTGAAATTTCTGGTTAGAAGAGTTGAAGAAAAAAGATCCCAAAACAAAGAAATTGAATCTAGGATTTTCTTCTCTATAAAGTGACTTGGGCCACCCTGCCACAAAGCAGGAACACATGTAAAGTGTTTCTGGTTCACCTTGATATCCTGGAGTCTTCAAGACTCTCCTTAGGATCATAGTTTTCAAAGAGCACAAGCCTTGTTTGCTTCCATAGCCCTTCTGTGTGTAGAGACCTCTCTGTAAACCAGAAAGACAAAAGACATTCCTGAGGAGGGCCAGTGCCGGGAGCCCAGGCAGCATTAGAAGAAACTGAACCTGCAGTGATAAGCAGGAGATTGCATAGTTGTCTGAGTCTGAAATGAAACCATTTTTGGGGCGAGTCTAATGCAGGACTTGGGGAAAATCAACAGTATAAGGTGACAGTAGTGAAGAAGAGAATGATGATGAGTTCTCATGTGATTCTTATATGGCTTTGTCCTTTTATAATCTATGGTTGCTTTATATATGTTTCTCTTTCATCTCTGTGGGAAATGTGGCTTAATAACAATAATTAGAGTACTTTGAGTATGTGTACTGTGCAAAACACAACATTAAGCCATGTTTCTGCCTCCTAGACATATATCAAAAACCAAACCCACTTCCGTCAAGTTGATGCTGACTCATAGCAACCTTCTGTCAGGTTTTTAAGGCAGTAAATCTTTATACAAGGAGACAAGATTGCCCATATTTCTCTTGGGGAGCAGCTGGTATATTTCAAACCCATGACCTCTAGTTAGCAGACACATAAGGTACTATGTCATCAGAGCTCCTTTCCTAGATTTATATTCTATGTATTGGCAGACATTTAGTGGATATACTCCTCTAATGAAGGGGAAGAATATGATAGAATAACAAGTTCAGATATTTCATGTTGCCTAACTGGTACCTCACATTTCTTTCAGTTTGTAATAATTCATATAACATTGTCATTAGACCAGCAAGGGCATAAGGATCCGTGACTTCCCTCATTTTGCAATGTGAGGATCCAGGACTTTATTGTATAAAGGGCACCTTTCTGGATTGAGACAATGCTTTTTCCTCTCTGGCCAGCTGATGATTTTTGTACCAGCAGAAAGCCCTGCTAAAAGCAAGTGAAGCACATTGTCATTTTCATGTAATCAAGAGAACCGTGGCATCATTTTGCACATAATTTTGGTGTTCCTTGTTTGGTGGTGTAGTGCCTGGGGCTTTAAAAATTTGCAGGCAGACATCCAAGGTACAACATTGGATCTCTCTTCACCTGGAGCAACAGAAGAGGAAGAAGGAACAGGAACAAGAGAAGGAAGTAAAATGGATGCATGAACAGTTCTGTATCCTTTGCCATGAGACTAGAAACATTGGATGGTGCCTGGCTACCATTACTATTTTGAGCAAAGAATCTAATAGAGAATCTTGATCATCAAAAGGGAGTGTATTTGAGGAGCAGAATTGAAAATTTTCATGAAATCTGTACTTTCTAGATCCATGGAGGACGGATGGATCTCTCAAAACTATCACCCCAAAATAATCTTTAACTCTTAAACTGAAGGTATCACCTGAAGTCTTTATTTTTTTTTCCACCTGAAGTCTTTAAATCAAAAGATAGTTTGGCATTATTAGTGAATAAGATTTGCCTTGAGCATTATGCTCTTTTTTTAAATTTTATTATTTGTGTGTGTGCGTATACCGTCAAATCAGATCTGACTGGTACAGGAGGAGATTGTCCCTCCTTCCTCGGCAGAGCATCTGGTGGATTTGAACCGTGTGCCTCTGGGATTGCAGTGCAGCTTCTTGCCGCTAGGCCACCAGAGCTCCCCTGCATTATGCTCTTTTAAAGAACAAACTATAATAATGGGATCAAATTGACAACAGGAACTCCTAAAATTAGAAAAATTAGAGGGCTCTTAGTTTATGTTCATTAGAGAAAAACAGCTTAGAAATGAAGGGTAAGAATGGTTGCATAACTCTAAAGAATGCAGTCAATGTTGCTAAAATGTACAAGAAGGAATTGTTGAATTAGTGTATGTTCTGCTGTGTATATTCTCAGTGACAATAACAAAAAAAAAGAGCCCTGTTATCAGAACAGAACCCAGGGAATTCAGTTAAGCCCATTCTTCTGAAAAAGAAGAAGCTTACGCTGTAGGATGGTACCAGATTTCTTCATCACTTTCTTTCCTACCTCACTCTATAACATATCTCCTTTCTCTCTTACTTTCACAGGTGACCTTAGAGAAGGTGCTGGGAATAACAGTGTCTGGAGGCAGAGGACTTGCCTGTGACCCTCGATCAGGTTTAGTTGCCTACCCAGCTGGGTAAGTACCTTGGAAGAGATCTTAGTTTATGGCAGTTTATGATAAACCAGTTAGGGTAGGCCAGTATTCTCTGGTACCTACTGGAAGATTGTTCCAGATAAAATTTTTTTATGCCAGTTTTGTAAATGAGATACAGGGCCCTTTGTTGGATATTCTCTTTGTTGCTATTCACAACTTCTCACTCACAGGTATATTATCACTCATTTGTTACATACAGCTCTCACAATTACCTTTAATAACTACCTTCTAATCATTTGAATATGAATGTTGTGAAATATATGGGAAGATGAGCCCCTAAGTTTGGAAGGCACTCAAAATGTGACTTAGAAATTGTTTCTTCTTCAAAGTAGACTCTACCTTAATAAGATAAATTGTTGTTATATGCTATCGTATTGACTGTGACTTAGAGACCCTGTGAACAACAATTCGGAACCCTGCCCTGTCGTGTGCCATCCTCACCATCTCTGATATACTTGAGCTCACTGTTAAATAAAGTCATCTTATTGATCTGTCTTGTTGAAGGTCTTTCTCTCTTATGTTGACTGTCCACCTTTCCAAGCATTATTATGTCCTTCTCCAAGGACTGGCCCCTTCTAACATCATGTCCAAAGCTTTCATCTAGTGAAGGAATTTCATTTGTTGATGTGACAGGACTCACAATGAGGAGAAACTGCTGCACACATCCATTAATAATTGGAGTCTGGAATGTATAAAGTAAGAATTTAGTGAAATGGCACTTGTTAAAAATTAAATAAAACACATAAAGGTCAATATCCTCAGGGTTAGTGAGCTGAAATAGACTGCTATTGGCTGTTCTAGTTAGATACTGCAATGCCAGGAATGGCAAATTGAAGAGGGTTAATGTTGTATTATTGTCAAAAAGAACTTTTCAAGATCCTGAAGTTTAGTGCTGTCGGTGATAATATCTATATGCATATATGGGAGATGTGGTAGTCTAGTAGCAAGAAACTGCACTGTAATCTTGAAGGTGCATGATTTGAGTGTACCAGTTGCTCCATGGGAAAAAGATGGACAGTCTCCGCCCATGCAGTTTACTGCCTCTGACCACCAGCTAGAGGGTCAGCTATGGGTCTGTTCCAACTCTGCAGTACACAGCAACAACATAGGCATATAAGAAAATATATTAATGCAACTATATACACACCAGTCGCTAATGCCAAAGTTGAATAAATTGAGTATTTCTACCAACTTTTGCACTCTGAAATTGCTCAAACATACAGCCAAGATGCATTAATAATGATTTTTGACTGGAATGCAAAAATTGGAAACAAAGAAGGAATGGTATTTGGAAAATATGGCCTTCTGTTGGGTTGCTATGTCAGAATTTTTGCTCAATGATAACTTGTATTGCTGATACTTAGAGCCACCTTCTTATTGTAATCTCAATATTTCAGCAGAGGAAACTGAAATTCAGAGGATTTAAGCTGTTTCCTCATATTATCATAGACAGTAAGTATCTTTACAGGGTTTTTAACCCAAGTTAACGGCAGAGTTCATAACTTAAAATTATATAGGATGGGGGCAAACCAGAAATGCCACTTAGTTACTTTCTTTCCCCCTAAGCAGCCTACCTGATGTGCTAATGACAGGAACTCTGGGCAGCTGTGTTTGTTCCAGTAGACTTCTTCTCTGGTTCTGGGGTCAGTCTGTCTTCTCTGCAGTGCTTGATATGTGTGGTAGGGAGGCAGTGGGAGTGACATTGGTTGATAATCTGAATTATCAGTAAATGACCTTGTAGCTGGAGAACCATGTGTATTTCAGAGAATTCTACTCCTTCTTGCCTTTGCCAGGGAATGCCAGGTTCCTTCATGCTGGAGGTGGGGCTGGGGTGGATGTAGGATAAGCAGGAAAGGCCTGGGGTCCTGCCCAGTACATGCTGAGCCCTGTCATCCTGAGGAGTGTAGAGCTCTGCTTCCCGCTGTCTTTCCCACACACCCAGGCCCCAGGCTTGGCGCCATTAAGGGTGTGTGCTTGTGTTTATGGGCAGGACCCAGCCTAGCACATGTGCCTGGAAGTCACATCTTCCAGGTAGTAGTGTGTGGAGACTCCTCTCTGGTTGCCTCTAGCAGGCTTCCCTGTGTGCTTGGCTTGGGCTGGCCCTGGGCAGTAGCCCTGATCTGCTCCTTGACATTGTCATTTCCTAGAACTTCATGTGCTCTCTTGCCTTATTTCTAGATATTTTCATTTTCTTTGTGCTGGAGCCCCCTGAGGTGCCAGGGGACCACAAAAGTCTCTGTGAGTCAAAACAGGCTTTCGTCCCACCAACCCCCCTGCACTCTCCCTTTCCTTCCTATCTAGAGATTCTAACGCCCCCTTCTTGTTCCTACTGCATTTGTTGCTGTAGGAGCCAGCTCAGGTATCCTAGAAACAAGAAGAGAAACAAAGCTCAGAAAATTCTCCCAGAGGCCTAGAGGCAAATATCAAACCAAAACAAAGTTTTGTGAAAGGAAATGAAACAGTCCCAGGAAGGGGACTGTGGGGGTGGAGAAGGAGTGTTTTTAGCAGAGATAGTTTGAAACTCTAGACCAAGAGTGTGGAGTTTTGTGTCAGAAGCCCTTTGGTTATAATGGCTTCTGCATGTCATCTTCAGAGTTCTTCTTTAGTTGTGGTCTTCCTCACAGAATGTTCACCCCTCATCTTTCATACCATAAGTACTCTTGCCATAGGATGCATAGCCTTTGTTAAGGACTTTGGTTTGGTTGAAAAGCTATAACTGATTTGGGCCCAAGTTAGTTTCCCTTCTCTGGCTGGCCTAGTTTTGGGGGTGCATTTTGGAAGCTTTAGAGCCCAACATAGCCTCTATTACCACATGTAGCCACTCATTTCTGGATGTGGGCATCTTTTGGCTCCTAGCCTCAGTGTGCAGGGCTTGGGTGTGCTCCAAGCAGAGCTTCTACTTCCCTCCAGGAGTAGGAGGTGTCCTAGAAAGGTGACTGACCCTACCAACGCCAGAAGGAAGCCTTAAGTGATAAAAAGGAGAGAGGACGTTCAACTCTCTTGAAAAGGAGGTCCTCTGTTTACTTTGCCCTTGTTGGAGTTTATGCTGAGATTTCCAACTCCAAAGCTTTGGACAGAATGTGAACCCAACAGAATATCCTCCTGAACTTTGTTCTAATGATATATGATCTGAAGGAAAACAGAGCTACCTTCTTATTCTCTGTGGTAAACATTTTGTGGATATGTTGACACACAGCAGGACAGTGGAGAGACCAGGTAGACCTGAGAGCATGAGGGTAAGTAAACTTGGTTCACTGATGGGTGAGAGGCACTTTCAGGGCAGCCAACAAGCAGCAAGCCCCTCACTTCCTTGTGTTTACTTTTCCTTCAAATCTCATATTGGAAGCCAGAACCCTCGAGTTCTTCCCAAAGCAGTTGGATCATGGTGCGTTCATTCGTGTGTGTGACAGATATTTGTTGAAAATCTGCTGTGGACCAGACATTATTCAAGGCATGGGGTACAGCAATGAATAAAACAGATTCCTTGCTTTTGTGGGACTTGGGTTCAGGAAGAGAAAGCTGACAGTAAGCTTTTAAGCAAATAAGTGAGCGAGGCAGTAGCTTGGTGATAAGTGTTTCTGTGAAGAAAAAGAACTCACAGTGGGTCAGATAAAGAAGGTAAGAAGAAAAACTGAGCCTGGATGGGCAAGAAAAGTCTCTTGTGAGTTGATATTAGAATGATAAGGAGGAATCAATGCGTGATTTCTACTCAGAGTAGTCGAGGTGAAAAAATAGCTTCCAGATCCAGGTCTGGATAAGGCCCCCCCCTTTTTTTTTTCACGTGTCTACTGTCAAATTCGATCTGACTGGTACAGGAGGAGATTGCCCCTCCTTCTTCAGCAGAGCATCTGGTGGATTCAAACCACGCACCTCTGGGATTACAGTGCAGCTTCTTGCCACTAGGCCACCAGAGCTTGCCGATAAGGGCCCTTTTAATTCATTAGTATTCAACAAATCTTATATGTGAAGCTGTAGTTGGGCTTCCTACTGCAACTGTAGATGCCCTAGATAACCCTTTACTTTTTGTGACAGAGGCATACAGCTTCATCTTGCCTGGATCCACAATTAACACCCTTGGTACAAGGAGTCAAGAAATATGGAGACACATTGCACTGGGAAAATCTGCAGTTAGGGACCTCTCCAAATTATTGAGGAGTAATGATGTCAGTTTGAGGACTAAGGTGCATCTGATTCAGGCCACGGTCTTTCTGATCACTTGCTTTGCATCTGAGAGCTGGAAATGAAGAAGGATGACAGAAGAATTGATGAGAAGAGATGTGGTGTTGGAGAAGAGCATTGAACATTCATTCCATGGACAGCCAAGAGAACAAACAGAAATGTCTTGGAGAGGGTGCACCCGGAATGCTCTTTGGAGGCAGGAATGATGAGGCATGTTGCTAGGAGAGGCTATTCCTTGGAGAAGGACAAGATGCTGGGAAGGGTAGAGGGTCAGTAAAAGAGAGGTAGACCTTTAAACTGGAGGATTGATGCAGTGATTGCTGAATGTGCTCTTGTGTGTCAGGAAGTGTGAGGGATGGCACAGGATAGAACAAGGTTCAGATTTTTTTGTTCATAGGGTTGCTATGAGTCTCATACTCGACTCCACAGCACCGAACTACTAACTCACTAAAGGTACCTTTTGAGGAGCACTATGCAGGGTTATTTTGGACATTATCTTTAATTCTAACAAAATTCTGTGAAGTGGATTTGTTACCCCTGTTTTACAGGTGAGGAAACGGAGGTTCAGAGGAGCATGCCCAAGATCACACAACGTGCTAGCAGCCATGTCTGTGTGACCACTGTGTTCTTTTCACCACTGTGCTGCCTTTCAGTGAGCCTGTGAACAAGGGCTGCTTCACAGACCTTGGAGGTTCTTGGGCAGTCAGAGCACTGAATGAAACCTTGTAGCTAGTGATTTGTAAAAGATTTATTCACTCCTTCACAAATACTTCAGTACCTGTCTTATAGGCCCTGGGAACATA